AAAGAATATAAAATGACTGCTTACAGACATTATATACACAGAGTATGTTTAGTGCGTTATTAACGAATTTATCAATACTGGAAAAATGTATCTGAAGCTGTGTGATTGTTATGATTAACAGGTGGGAGGCCTCTCCAGATCTCTGTCATCTGAGGAAATTTTAATTATTTTATGCAAAGGTGACATTAAAAAATCAGTAAAACGGAATAGGTGGCAACAACATAAAAATCAAAAAGGAAAGGAAAATAAAAATGAGTCAGGAAATCAGAGTGAAGGACAATTAAACCAACAATGTGGAAAACAGGAGAATAAAAACACATAAAACTTTTCCTTTTTAGATCTCATTTATTCCTTAATTTTCAATTAATTATTTTTCAGAGTAGTAGCTCTTGGAAAACATAAAAACAAAAAATATAAGGCAAAAACAGAGTTTGTCAACGAGCTTGCAAGTCAATATTTGGTATGACCACCTTTATTCTTCAACACAGTCGGAACTCACTTAGCAAATCTTTCTTGTAATTCCTTTAAGTAGTCTGCGGGACTAGTTCTCCAGGCTTCTTGAAGGGCATTCAAAGCTCTACATTAGATGTTGTCTTTTGTCATGTTCTCTGTCAGGATGAGCCCACACTTCATCAGTAATATCTGGGCTTCAGAAAATCCATGACTGATAGTGGTCCGCTGTGTGTTTTTGTATCATGGTGGGCTTTTACTGCACTCGCAGTGTGTTTGGGATCATTGTCATACTGAAAATCTCCCATCGTCTCCCCAGCTTCTCTTGTGATTGCCTCAGGGTGTTCTCCTTGTTGGACATCAGCTAGGAGGCTCCCAGAAGGGCATCCTAGCCAGCTTGCTCCTTTTAATGTGGAGCAGCAGCAGTTCTCTGAGCTATTCTCACTCTAAGGCTGAGCCCAGAAACTCATCATAGGAACATTTCCCCACTTAAATCCATGATTCCAAACTTTTCAGTTAAAAATAACAATTTATTTGACATGAAAATAACTACATGCAGATACAGGTAGTACCTCGGCCTGCAGTCTAAGGGGATAAGTTGACTCAACAGTGACAGAACCTCCAGATCCCTTCACTGTGAAGGACTAGTGGATCAGTTCCCCCACAGTTTATCGCCCGTCTCATCAAATCATTTAATAAAGTTAGAAAAAAATAACGTTTTTCTGTGATTTACATTTTTACAAGAAAAAAAGAGTAACAGAAAAGTCAGTGCAGTTTATGTTTCTCACCACCAGATGGAGCCAGAAGAGTGGTCCCCCCCCCCTTTCCCCTTCCTCATCGTGTCATCACTTTCTCACCACATCCTCATCTTTCACTTTCTCCTTCTTCCTCCCAATTTCCGTGTCCTCCTCTTCACTGGCCCTTAGAAGAGAGCAAGAACACTAAGTGGGATAATGAGCCCCGAGAGAGACCGAGCCAGTGACAGCGGTTCTCCCACACTAATTAAAGCCGCTGGGGTCCCACTAAATGGCTGTTAAATACACACAGTTACACACTGTGATGGATCAATGCCAACTCCTTACTACAGTCGAAGAACATGAGGAGTGTAAAGGAGAAAAGAGGACATGATGAGCTGTTCAAAAACACCTAAAGAAAAAGCTGAGTACACAAGTGGAAAACAGCATCTTTTCCAGCATACACGTCCAGACTGGAAAACGTGCTGTGAAAGATTTGAAATGAACCTCAGACAGTATAGACAGCAGCATAATGCTGCATTTACATTTTTTAAATTTCAAAATAAAACTTCTTGTTGAAAACCCATAAAACTACTCTTCAGAAGTGAATTTCATGTCTTTGCACAGCATAAATATGAAGTTGTTTTATAAGTACAATTTCAGTTTGTAAAGTCTTGTTTTGAAAGATACTGTGCAAAAGTCTTGAGCTACCCCTAGTTTCTTTACATGTTTCTTTTTGTTTAAAGTCGTCTTGAGCAGTTGTTCTTCAGGCTTTCTGAAGGTCTTCCAAAGGTCTGTCCCTTGGCTGCTTTTTCACTCATTCTCAGTCCAGTCCTTGTACACAACCACTTTCAAAAGAATGTTTTTAGTTTGGTAAGCCACTAACCTATGAATCATACAAGCGTAAAAAGGGATGAACCTGTCTGGTGTCACATAGGTGGCACTATGATAAAGATAAACACATGAAAATAGTCGCCCCCCCATTTTATTTTATGTCCAAAGACACTTTATTTTGGTAAGGACACTATTAATGTCAATTTCCTGTCATGTAAGGTGCGCCAGCAGAGGGCGCTCTGTGTCGTACGCTTCGGTAGCCAGTGTTGCCAACTTAGCGACTTTGTCGCTATATTTAGCGAGTTTTCAGGCCCCTTAGCGACTTTTTTTTCTAAAAAGCGACTAGCGACAAATCTGCCGACTTTTTCTGGTGTTATTGGAGACTTATTTATGACGACTTTTTGACGTGAAAGAGCGTGTTGCTCTTACTCTCAACATGCAGCGGTGCTGCCGTGGGCACCTCACCCGTGCTAAAGCGCTCACGGGCAGAGGATAGTCCTCCCCCCAGCTGCAGGAGATGTTCACACCTATGCGTCCAAACTGCAAATGAACCGCACATGAGCGAAGCTGCTGCTCCCGCACTGACTGTAACGCAGTCAGTTCTTCTTTTACTGTTATGCTGTTTTGTGGATGACAACGTTTAAAACTACTTATAAACACACACACACACACAAAGTAACTCCACCAGAGTGCCTATTTCGGGTCACTTTTGCCGGTCGAAGCCTGGATAAAGGATCAGGGTTGGAATTGTGACATTAAAAAACAATAATTGCTAAAAGAAATTT